TGAGTTTGGGGGGCTGAGGGAGACTCAGGGATTTCTCTGTGAGCTGGGGGGGACTCGGGGACCCTTCTGTGAGTTTGGGGGGCTGAGGGAGACTCAGGGATTTCTCTGTGAGCTGGGGGGGACTCGGGGACCCTTCTGTGAGTTTGGGGGGCTGAGGGAGACTCAGGGATTTCTCTGTGAGCTGGGGGGGACTCGGGGACCCCTCTATGAGTTTGGGGGGTTGAGGGAGACTCAGGGATATTTCTGTGAGCTGGGGGGACTCGAGGACACCTCTGTGAGTCTGGATGCTGTGGGGGTGGGCTTAGGAACCCCTTTGTAAGCTTGGGGTGGGGGGACAGGCTCGGGGATCCCTCAGTGAGCGTGGGGTGGGACGGGGGAGTGGCTTGAGAGTGCCTCTTTTAGCTTGGGGTGCTGTGGGGTGGGGAAGGGCTGGGGAGGGAAGCTTGGGGAGGTGTGGAGACTTGGGGAACCCTCTGAGCCTGAGATGGTTTGGGGCTGGCGTTGGGGGGAGGTCTGAAGGGAGCTCGAGGACCTCTTTGTGAGCTTGGGGTGGGGTGGGACTTGGGGAAAGCGTCTTGAGGACCCCTCTGTGAGCTTGGGGTGCTGTGGGGCTTGTGGGGGAGCTCAAGGATGACTTCGTGAGGTTGGGGGTCGTGCTCGGGAACCCCTCTGTGGGCTTGGGGTGGGGTGGGACTGGGGGCACCTCCGGTCGAGGGGTCTTAGGAGCGTTTCTGTGAGCTTCAGACTAAGAGATTTGAGGGAATTTCTGTCAGTTTAGGGATGAAGCAGAGGCAGGAGCTTGGGGGTAACGGGAGGAGGGCGTCGCGGGTGGAGCTCGAGTGCCTCCCACCATGAATTCGGGGACGAGGCGAGGACCTTGGGGAGCATCTCTCTGTTCTGAGGATGATGTGGAGCTGATCGGGGACTGGGGTGATTCAGGAGTAAAGGGGGGCTAGGGGAGCGTTGTGGGGTTTTTTTGTTTGTTTGTTTGAGTTTATTTTTTTTTACTTAAAGCACGGCTCGGTGGGCGGGGATGGTGCTGCCCGGAGAGCCGGCACAGCCTTCCCCGGCCTTGCTGCTCCTCCCCTGCAGTCAGGGGAAGGTGATAGAGTGAGTCAGTTAACCAGGAGAGTGTTTATTTGTTCTGAATATGTTTGCGCTAAACATATATGTGTATGTATAACAGTCAGCTCTGTGTCAATTTGTATGGAAATATTCACAGCACGTACTAAGTTACTTTGCCATGAGTGAGAGGTCTGCATTTCTGCTGCTGGAGGAGTTCAGAAGGATAATTGAGTAGAAAAATTCCATCCTTGCCCTGCTTGTTCAGTGGCTTTTTCAGGCATTGGAGACCATGTTGGTGTTTTGGATGTTTTGCCCTGTAGTTGTTAAATAACAGGTTCTTGCCGTGAAGCCCCCACTTTACAAATTATAGGTACCTGATGTCACTGAATTTATGCTTATTCTCAAATACAGAATGACAGGTTACTGCTTGTGCCCTGATAAATATTTTTCTAAAGCTCGGAGCAGTTTTGTTTTTGTGAACTTTAATAGAATCATGAAATTGTTTGCATTAAAAGGGACCTTGAAGATCATCTAGTTCCAAACCCCCTGCCGGGGCAGGGACACCTTCCACTTGATCAGGTTGCTAAAGGCCCCATCCAACCTGGCCCTGAACTCCGTTTTGCTCTAGTGGGAAAACCTGCTGCCTTTCACAATGCTTGCCTTGGACACTGACCACTTTAAACAAAGATATGAATAAAACCTCACTTCTCCTTTCGTTTTATTACAGCTACTAGCTAATGAACTTGTGAAGTACAATTTAGATCAAATGTTGAGTGCAAATTTTTTAAATACTGACTTGCTTTTGATGACTTAATCCTGGAAAGAAACTTTTTTAGATTTAATATCTAAAACTCTCAGTACATATGGTGTATGTATATAGTGTCAATTTATTGGATATTTTAATGATCTGAATTTGGTTTAGCAATGGTGTACAAGTATCTCAATGAGAAAGTTGAAAAATTCTGCAAGTAAACCTCCCCTACTTATGGGGCTTTTAGAAGGTGTTGACAACTTTATCATGTCCTATGTTTTTTCTAAAGTAATCACAGCAAAAAACTAGTTTGTAAAGATTCACTTGATCTGTTGTCTCGATTTTAATTTGGAATGAAAGAATGCAATAAAGTTCACTTCAAGTTCTACAAGTGGTTATGTAAAAGTACTTTATATACAGAATAACTTGAGCTAAAGCATTAATATAATGAATAAAGAATGAATGAAGAAATAGCTAATACAGGCATGCTTTGCATGCCATTGCTTCTGTAGCCATTGTTTGCATTCCATTGCGAATTAAAAGTTCTGTTGTCAGGCTTGCAAACAAAGTAGCCGAGTTCTGTGGAGAGTATGAAGCAAATTTTCCTGTAAGGATTAATGTAAGAGTGAGGAAATGTGTACAGAAGCCTAAATACAGAAATTTAAATACATAAGGGCAATGAGATTGAAAATGTGATTTAAGATTTTCAGTTGGAGTATTCTTGTTACCTCTTTATGCAAGTGAAAACAATCACTTTTAGTCTTCCTGAGCTGATTTTCTGAATTCATCTGGAAAAAGAAGATAAGGATTAGCTATTTGGTCAAATCAAGCATTTGAGATCACTTGGAATGGTTATCAGTTGCAGGAAGCCAACATCTTGTCTACTTGATGATACCAATTATCTTGCATAGGTGCTACAAGATAACACATCAGTTCTTATGAAATAAATTGCTTTGATAGCAGTCTTTCAGATAAGTACCTGCACTTCTCAGGTGTCATCCTTTGTGGACAGTGATTACACTCAGATCTTCCTTACCATGCCTTCTGTCTTTCTTTTTTTAAAAAGCAGCTGTAGTGCCACTGAGGTTAGTGTCAAACCTTTAAGAACAGCAGAGACTGGAGTAAAAGGTAGACAAAGTTCAAGTACCTATAACTTCCCTGACATATTTGAAATGTGTTCTTTCTCTATTTCTAATTTTTCATCCTTAATCTTAGTTGCAGCAAAGGCTTTAGTTTCAAGTCCTTCACGCTAGTAAGATTAGATCAGCATATACGATCTACTGAAGCTTGTGCCTGTCAAATATAAGAACAATATTTAAGAAATACCTTTTTAATGACTTTTTTTTCCAGATTTGATAGCAATAATGTCTATGCTGCAAAGGATTTTTAAGTACTATGTGTTTTACAAAAGCAGCACGTGCTCAGAGTGTGCAGGAAAAAGCTAAATAATTTGATTCAGGACTCTGATCCTAAACACACCCTAACTAACGAAATTTGTTTTTGCTGTTTGTTGCTGTACAATGCACTAATGAGACCATGTGAGTAAAACAGAGAAGTGATTGTCACGGGGCCCTTGCAGAAGAAGTACTTCTGCTTAGCTGGATACCCTGTTACAGGAGACAGGGCTGTACAGTCACTGTTGGCTTAAGGGCTTGGGAATGAGGAAATGATGTAGATGACAGAGCTCCCTTTGAAGGATGGAGGCTTAATTAGTAAGGGTATAATGTGAACTGTGGAAGGCATACTATCAACAATTAACCTCTCAGACCCCTACCAAAAGGGCTGTGCAGTGCTGCATTTAGATACTTTGAGTCTTCTGAGATCACCTTTCCATACGAAGACTTTCCATACTTCCAGAACTCCTTTGAAGCTGTTAGTGTTTGCTAGCTGGTGCCAGGCTGCCAACTTCTTCCATTATCTGAAAGTGCATCTGGCTGACCACACCCTCTCATTCATGCTGTGGTGCTGTGTTTGTTGATGTTCTAGAATGAGTCTGCAGATTTTAAACGCAGAAAATGGAGAAAATGGAGGAAACATTAAGGATGATCTAACAGCAGACGACTGTGGCTTTTTCTTGGCGCCGCCAGAACCTACAGGGAGACCTTCCATTCTACGCCCGTCCCAGAAAGAAAACTTGCCACCAAAAAGTGTGGCAAAAGCAATGAAGGTAAACTTTTGCTTTGGTATTGCTTATATTCTTTCTCCTTCTGTAGTCTTTGCTACCGAATGCATAAGCTATTTGGAGCTTGAAAAATATTGTGCTCATGTTTTTCCTTTTTCTTCCTCCTGCCCCCCCCTTTCTTCAAGGTAACCTTTCAGACTCCTCAGAGAGATCCTCAGACTCGAAAAATCCTAAGTCCTACTATGACAGACAAACTTGAGACTGCTTTTACACTTGATGATTGCTGTGAAGACTCGGTGGATGATGTTTTTTGTGCACCTTCTGATGCTGAGTAAGTAATGAATTCACTGCTACTTGTATTAGCCACGTGGGATGTGCTCAAGCTAACTTTTCTGCATTACAGAACTGTATAGTTAAAATGTAATTTTGTATTTTATGACAAGATGTAAACTACATGAAAGGACCAAAATTAATGCTGACTGATGCATGAACTTTTTCAAAGGTAGCTGTCAATACTTTTAAGAAAAGTTCCTCTCAGTTGTAATGTTGAATACTGAACTCTAATTCCTCTATAACTGATTTCATAGAGATGACTTAAGGTATGGATAAATAGCTTAAGAGAAAAGATACATTAGGTAGAGAATACAAAACCGTTTCTTAAAGTTTTCATGTGAGAATGCAACTATTCTGAAGCTAATTTTTAAAGCTCAGCCTTAAAATATCTTCTGTTGTATGTTAAGTACTGTTGTGTCTTAAGGAGAAGAATCTGAAGAGATAAATCTTCTGAAGGGTTAGCTTGAACTGAATACTCAGTGAGTATTAAGATTAAAGAAACCCTAGCAACACAAAGTGAATATAACATCAATCATAAGTATAAACAAGTTTATGTGCCTTTATAGTCTAGCAGCCTGAGTCTCAAAGTGGCTCATGAAAGGTGTCTAGAGAGGAGCATAAAATCTACCATGTTTCAGTTTGAGGGTATCATGACAATGTTTAAGACACCTCAATGCATATTTTTGTTACTCTTTTTGCCCCTCCTTTAAACTTGTATAAACATGTGAGGCTTGTAATTTCTGATGGCAAGCAAATAGACCCTTTTGTTTGTTTTTAACAACTTTCATTTGACCCCTATTTTTGTTGTTTGTAAGGGAGGGAAAGGAGAAGGGTGGGAACACTTAAATGTTCTTTAAATGTAAAAATTTGCTTCAACTGTTTGTTTCCATGTGTAGTCTAGTTTAGAAAAGTACTTCTGAGCTAACCACCACGATTAAATGACTTAGTCATTTATGCCCCAAACTCATTGCTTGCACAAATAAACAAAGATTTAGTACTTATAAAGTTCAAGTGAGTTAAAAGGGTCAGCACTGGATTGGTTTTAGTTAGAGCATAATTATGTGTCAACACATTGCTTGTACTGGCCTTTCTAATTTTAAAATGTGAGGATTTGTTTGTAGCAGATAATCTGCAGGGCTCCGTGTTGCTGAAGGGTGTCACTTTTGACAAGTGATGGGCATTTCAGGTGTCTCACTCTTGACTGGCATTTATTAGGTTAAACACTGAAGGAGAGTAGAGTGGGAGGGACCTGAGTAGTCGGAGCAGCCTGGGGCTGAGCTATTGCAGGGAAGAGGCGCTCAAACCGGGTGAGAACAACTTCAGCTCTTATCTCCCGCCTTTGCTTTCGAGTTTATCAAAGTGGAGTTTTTAGTGAGTGGCTTTTAATCGTGTTCTGTTCTGCAGCAGATAAGGATGGCACATAGAAATAAGAACTTTACGAAGGGACAAAACAATGGGAGGAAATCCTGTTTCAGGAAGTAATGGATTAACTCTCTGTAGTCTGAGGCTAAACTTCAGAAGTTGTGTAGAGTTTAGAGAAATAAAGTGGAGAGCAATAACTTGTAGAATTCTTACCAATAGTGAGTACACAAACTCTTTAACCTGTTTCTTTTGTTAGAGAGTCTTACTTTCTTGCTGAAGGAGTATTTTCTTGTATATCACTGCTCTTCAGATCTACTGGTTTAGGGAGCTTGGAGTTTCTGAAGTCCAGGTTCTCTTTTGGTATGTAGGCTCTCGTAGATGAAATGCTGGTGCATACTTTTGGGAGGAAAATGCTTGCCAGAATGACCAGACAAAGGAATGACTAGAATGGGAAAACCTGAATCATGACTTGGTTTGGTCCCAGACTTGAGTCTGTCATGACTCAGAGACGAATCTGCATGAAGATGAACCAGGAGTTGTGTTTGCATTTGTGCTGCTTACTGTCAATAACTTCTCCTAAGCAATGTGTGTTTCTCTGTCCAGTAAAAGAGCAATGTCTGTATGCTCTGGTGAGCAGAGCAGTCTCCAGGAATGGCTGTCATAAGATAACAAAGCTGTGTAGAACAGGTAGCTTAAGAACACGGGATAACTTCTAGGATTGATCTCCCTGTAGTTCTTGTATACCTGAGCTTGTAACTTCTGACTGTTCAGGTGGCAACTGAATTCTTGTTGTTACAATATAATTTTGCTGTCAGCTGACTTATTGCAAAAAAAAATCAAATTATTCTGAGCGTGCAAAGCTACTTGTGCAAATATCTTTCTAAAGATAACTTCAAGAGATGCCTGAAAAATAACTGTGGTATGTGTGGTCTTTTTTTAATGCAGCACATGTCAACAAAAGATTGAGCCTGAAGCAGACAATACACAAATGCCAGAGAAGGTCAGTGTGGCTTCTTACCCAGATGATGAGATGCCAGTGAAGAGCCGAGGATCCTACAGTATTGACTTCGATAACTTAGATAACATCAATCCTTTTCAAAGTTCAGCACAGTTGCCTTATTCTCCTGGAAATCTGCAGAAGTCTCCTGTAAAAGTAACTAGCAGCCCCAAGAAAACTACTGAAAAAAGTAATGATTCTATTCTGACAGAAGATGCAGGTCCTTCTGCTTCAACCACAGTGAATACAGAGTGTTTAAGTGAAGAGAAGCCTTTATTCTCTGCAAGAAAACCGGCACTGAGTGAGCTGGAGTCTAATAAATCCACACTGTCCCCTAAGCAAGCTCTCAGTGACTCTGAGCAGGGTGTGAAGCCTGCTTCCCCAGATGTGAGCCAAACTGATAATTCAGTGGGATTAGCAGAGGCACTTCCACCTCCTGGACAGTTACCTGGTAGTTTAGGTCCCAGTAGTTCTGATGTAACTGGTTCTTTTAAAACTGGGGAATCGAAGCATCAGGATGTTTTGGTAGCAGAAAAAGCTTCCACAGAAGAATCAAAGCCTGAGGAAGATCTGGCCATCTCCAAAGGGAAGCCTGCAGAAAAGCCTGATGTCCCCAAGGCTGGACCAGTAAAACTGGAATTTGACTTTGATAATGCCACTGCTAAAAAACCACCTCCTAGGAAACTAGGTAAAAGACCTGGAATTAAGCCACCTTCCAAAAGAATTCCTGTTACCAAAACAAAACCAGAGAATATTGAAGTGCAAAATAAAAGTAATGTGGAAGATGAAATCCCTCTTCCTAAAGCATCTTATAAGTTTGACTGGGACAAACTTGATGATCCAAACTTCAATCCATTTGGAGGAGGCTCCAAAATTTCCACCTCGCCTCATTCTAAGCCCAGCCCTCAGAAAGTTCACGTGCAAGAGGAGCAGGATAGTACCACTTCAAGAAGGGACCCTCTTCCAGTGGAACAGGATAACCATTCAAGTACCTTTGAAACTCCTGAAAAATCAGAACCCAAAAATCTGTAAGTAAATGTGCAACTAAATGCACCTCAAACCCATGTGAGGAAAGGTAGATAGTATCTAGGTAGTTGATTCCTACTTTGACTTCTTCCCTCCAACATTGGCTGAGTCTGTTGTTGTAATCTTTGACACAATTATGTTGCAACAGCAAAGATCTCACTGGGGAGACTATCTTAAGATGACTAGCTCTAGGGAAAAGTTGTTCTTAAATCTAGAAGAATGGGAGGGAACAGGCTTAGGTGGAAGGATCATTGGGTCATAAGGTTCTTTCCCCAATCCTCCAAGATTAGAGTAAAATGTGGAGAACCAGGTGACTGCTACTGTCTTTAAATCAAATGCCCAGGGAGTAGGCAGTTCTGTTTTCTGCTGGTCTGAGGTGCTGTTTCTGCCCTGTGTGTTCTTGGTATCTAAATGCTATCTCCAATAGAAAACCCTGTCTCTGAACCCGCATTTTTTTTGGCACCACAAACTTTTTATTTGGGAATGGAATATGTTACGTGTTGCTTTTCCTAGAAAATCTAGTTATTAAAGTGTCAGTGTTGCTATAGACAGTCAGAACTGGCACAAATTGGTCATTTGACAGACCATTTGACAGACCATTTGCTCTCTTGCTCCCTGTGTGATGTGATCAGTTACTGTTTATCAAGGTGAGAAGTTTTACTTACTGCTGACAGTCCAAACTGAAGTATTGGATTTCCCTAGTGAAGTTCTGTGCTTTACACTAATACAGCATAGCATTGCTTTGGGAAGAGGAGCAGGCTCTTATAATTCTGTTCTTAATTAAACAAAAAGCCTATCTTTTAATTAAAAAATAGTAATGAACCTAACAAATGGAAATGTGAGAACAGTGCTAAGTGAATAGAAATAAGTGATAGCACTTTGACTTTCTGCTTCCTACATAACACTGCTTCTGATGGAGGGAGAGCTTTCTGTCACTTAAGTTGTCAGCAGGCAAGACAGTGAATTTACATCCCTGCCCTCTCTAAAGCTTCCTGGGTTGTGAAAACTCTCAAAGAAGGTAATTTTGTTCAGTGTATTTGGTAATATAGAATTCAGACCTGTGTGACTTAAATTTTGATTTTCTTTTTTTTCTTTCTTTAGGGAAATTGTTAAGCAGAGTGTGGTAGAAGACATGCCAAGAGCTCCAGAAGAGAAGCCAGGTGTTCAAGCAGAAGCTGAATTTCCAGGAGAGAGAGACATGGTAAGGGATAACAAAGATAGCCAGTTCTTACCAGCTTGTTTCATTGAAGAGTGGACTTAGTGACTTAATCTTATACGAAACCTATTTTTGATATTTCGTCTAAGAATTAGTGGGTTTATGCATCTTTAGCAACTCTAAAAGGAATATCAACTGTGTGGACTTGTCTTTTGAAGGTAACATCAGAGACAGCCAAATTGGTACCTTGATATTTAGTATCTTTTTTGATCAACAGTCACATATAAGGACAAACATAAGGGTGTGGACTATAAAAAAAAAAGTGACTCCTGTATAATATGAGCTCAGTGTTGGGAGTTTAATTTCTATGCCTGTGAACCCTTGTTTCATTATGTTGGCTACCCAGCTAATTTATGACAAACCAATTTGATCATTATAATGATTTTCATTACATTTAAGTAATTATTTTAACAGTAAAAGATTGTGTTTTTTCTCATCAGGAGGAGCAAATGGACGCATCTAAACTGTCTTCAACTCATAATGTCCCCTCTCAAGATAATTTGGTTTCCTCTGACAGTGGAAAAAAGTCAGTGTCTGCAGAAGTTAAACCTCTTTCCCACAGAACTGAAATGACAGCAGTTGAGGAGACACCTGATGCTGAACCTGAAGAATTCTTCAGACCATCATCTGAGGGTAAGGGCATTTCTTTAAAACAGACTGAAAATATAATGTTACAATAACCTGTGTGTATATATTTTTCTAGCTCAGTTTTGGCATAGATTTTAGTTTTGTCTCTTATTCTACACTTCTGAAAGGACTGCAAAGCCTACAATAACTAGCAGTGCTGGGAAAAGTACCTAAGCCTATTTCTAACTTTCTCTGCTTTAAGCGAAGTTCACAAAGCTGGGTATTAGTGTTCAGCTGCCTGGGAGGATAAAATTTAGGCTGGTACAGAAACAATCTGTTTAGAGTTTCTGTGGCAGTTTTCTGTGCTGAAAAAGCACTCCTTTAAAATAATTTCTAGTATTAAAGCCTTTGTAAACTGAGAGCAGTGTAACTGTCTGTAGTTGTGAGTCTTGTAGATTACTGCAGTCTTAGCACTACTTGAATACCGGTTTCATATTACGATGTGGATGGTCTTTCTGCACTGGCATACTTGTCTTGAAAGCTTCCTACACAGCTGTGACTTGACCACTTGGTGGGGTTATTCCTTGTAGAAGCATTGTGTGGAAGGATGAGGAAATTATTTCACTGCAGTGCAGTCTGTCATTGACCTTCAGAGTGGAGTGGAATCAGTATGTTGGGAAATAGCTATAACTTCTGAGTTATAGCCATTGAACTTCTGTTCAAGTCTGAGCTGTGTGCCAGTTTTAATAGTGAGACTGACAGCTGTAGTCTTTCATGGGGCACTGTGAAAAATAGTAGAATATCTGAGTGTGCTTGTCACTTTAACCACAGAACAACAGAAGTTCTTCAGCTGTGTTAAATTCTGCATATACTTACAGAAGTGAAGAACTAGAACTCATGAGAATGAAAGCAGTATTTGCTTTATACACATATCCATTTGTTTCTGTCTGTGGTAAGACCATATGATATCTTCATTCTACCTTTTCTGTTTTTTTCCAGTCCTAGGATCGGGCATAGAAATAGACTATCTGGAACAATTTGGGACTTCATCAGTAAGTATGACATTGAAGTGTTTTGTTTGCTTCCCTGGCAGGGTGGGGAGGGAAAGCAAAGGTGAAACTGTGAAACCTTAAATGTTTTTGTGAAATAACTTCACTTTGAATTGTCTGCAGAAATACAGGTTCTGTTCCAAAGGAATTGTGGTGACAAGGCTGGGCAGGGGGTGGTGGTGGAAAGGAAATGTATTTATAAGCAATTGAACTGAAAATTAGAGATCTCTTGCTTTCAGTTTGCAAAGGTGCTGTTTTTTCTTTAATAGCAGTGAAACCAGTGTGGATGATGTTTCACTTATGGTGGTTGCAAGAACAACATGATGCATTGAAAGTGCCAGATCATTTTTTCAAAAATATTTTTAAACTCTTTTGCTTTATGGCCAGTTTCAGGAAATTTGTCTCTAAATTGGGCATGTCATGTTTTAATCAGTTCAGCTTCATTATTCTTTCTCCTGCTTGGGTCCAGAGTAAGAGTAGCTCTGAATGTACAGTGAATACACTGAATTGGAGTTGGTTTTGGTCGTGCTGTGTTTGTCCTTATTATTTTCTGTGAATGACATACACTGTTCCTTCAGCTTACAATACTATCCTCCCCTTTCAGTGTCTTCTGCTGGTTTTGAGTAGTTCATAAATGTTTGCCCTTTTGATTCTGCCTGTGAGCAGATCGAGTTCACTTGATATTACATAAGGACTTAAGCATGTGGGCACAGAGTTCTCTTATGTAATGTTTCTCTTGAGAACAATGCTCTGGCCACTGAAGAACAGGCTCACCCACTCTCCAGAGGATTGTTTGTGTGTGGGTGGGATGTGTGTGTTGTGCTCTGAAACAGCATATCTGCCAGTTTATGCCTCTTTCCCTTCAGTTCAAAGAGTCAGCCTTAAGAAAACAGTCACTGTATTTGAAGTTTGACCCTCTACTGAGAGACAGTCCGAGAAAACAGTACCAGAAATTGATTGAAACAAATGAAAGTATCATCACAGCTCCACCTCAGCAGAGGTAGGTATTGACTTAGTCTAGGCTGTAGTACATAAGATCAGAGTTGTTTAGATTGGAAAAGAACTTCCAGATCAAGTCCAACAGTTAATCCAGCATTCGTGAGTCTACCACTAAAATGTGTCCCCAAGTGCCACATCTACATGTCTTTTAAATTTCTCCAGGAATAGTGACTCCATCACTTCCCTGGGCAGCCTGTTCCAATGCTTGATCACTCTTTCAGTGAAGAAATTTCACCTAATGTCTAATCTAAACCTCCCCTGGTGCAACTTGGGGCTGTTTCATCTAGTCTTGTTCCTTGGGGGAAGAGACCAACAGCCCCCTGGCTACAACCTCCTTTCAGGTTGTTGTAAAGAGTGAGATGGTCTCCCCTGAGCCTCCTCTTCTTCAGGCTGAACACCCCCAACTCCCTCAGCCTCTCCTCATCAGACTTTTGTTTCAGACCCTTCTCCAGCTCTGTGCCCTTCTCTGGACTTGCTCCAGTACCTCAGTGTCTTGTAGTGAGTGGCCCAAAACTGAACACAGGATTTGTGTGGCCTCTTCAGTGCCCAGTACAGGGGAACAATCACTGCTCTGGTCCTGCTGGGCACACTATTGCTGATACAGGAGCTTTACAAGGAAAGGCAGCACTTGAATTTAATGGTGTATGTTGTTGTTTATTTTTAGTCCTGTTCCTGATTTAAGTAAATTGCTTGAGGAACCTGAAAAGCCTCTAGTGAGTCTTCAGAATGAAGAAAAACCAAAAGGACTAGATCTTCTGGGGACATTTACAACTTCTGTAAGGGTGTCTGCAGTGCTATCAGGTTTCATGTTGGTATTTTGGGAAAGGGATAGCCTAGGTTCTCGAGACTTATGCAGATACTTTAAAGATCACAGAATGTGATAAATGTTTATTTAAACTCTTGTCTTAAACCAGGTTGGATACTCACTTATATCAAAGTTGAACTTTTTGATGGACTTCATTTTCTTAAGTATTAAAATTTTTTTTGTGAAAACTGGTGCCATTGCATATAGTGTAGGAGAACTTGAGCTGTTTTTAAGAATGCTTTAGTAAGGCAATATTTTTTTTTTTTTTTAATGCAAGTGAAGCCACAAAAGAGAAACTTGCTTTTTAGTTGCACTTTGATTAAACTCAGTACTTTATAGTCTATGATTTATAGCTTGAACAGCCTTTTATGGACAGATCTGCACACAGCAGTTCATCCTGAAATGGTCTTTTTTTTTTTGCTTGTGGAGAGCAGTGTGGTGTCATCTGCTTTGTAGCATCTTTTGATAGCTGTAAATGGTGGATAGCAGTTCTGGTTGCACTGTGTAGATGTCTTTTAGAACCATGTAGTTACCTTTAAAGTAAGAAAGTTACGGAGGTATTTTGTGTGTTAAAGTAATCTGTGTTGACTTAGCATTGAGTTATGTACGTAGATCTAATCAATGGCATGACAGTAGGACTCTTGAAACTTTCCTTTTCTTTTTTTTTTTTTTAATGGCATGACAGTAGGACTCTTGAAACTTTCCTTTTTTTTTTCTTTTTTTTTTTTCTCCTTACAGGACACAGGTCCCCTAATTCCAGACTCCCTGAGTGGTGATGTTCCTCCAGTCCCTTTTGCTGCTTCTACAGACACTGCTGTGGATGCTATTATAGATGTGCTGAAATACAGCCAAAAAGACATGGATGCAATGGTATGGTGACCCTTGCAAAGCTGAACTTGGCATAGCTTGGAAATTCCTTTTGTTTAGATTACCTAGGATAAGTCTCTACTTTGTAGGTCTTCTCATCATACTTGACATAGGCATCTCGCTCTGAAAAGCTGTGCACTTGATGGGAGCTGTAGGAATAAAACTCCTGAGAGCTAATACCTAATGAAATAGGTTAAACTTCATTTCTAGTTAGGTTCTGCCTTAGAACTGGTCAGCACGTGTTATCAGATGGGATGGTCAGGCTTAACATCAGTGATCTGAATATTTTCTGTTCAGTGCTGTGATCGAGTCTTTTTTTTTTGTGGGACCTGAAGGCACAACAATATGTCCAGATAACAAAATGAAGGTGAGATCTGGAGCTCACGCTGGAGGAGAAAGACATTAATGGGGGAGGGAAATAAGAAGTTGATAGGATTTCAAGCATATTCTGGAACTACAGAAGTTGTCTTTAAACCCCCTTTTGCTTACTGATGCATGAAGATTTGTGTGCCCACTCACTTAAAAAATTTGAGTGCTTGATTCATTATGGCTTCTGGGTTATGTAACTTTACAAACACTAAATAATGTAAGAGGAGTATCTAAGCATAAATGCCCTCAAAGCTAATCATGTCACTTCAAAATTAACTTGAGCAAAAAATGGAGCATCAAAATTCCTGACTGCTGTACTGCAGGCAGCAGGGGACAACTTTTAGTGCATTGATCTAAAATAAAGAATTTATATACGGTAGGAAGGGGGAAAGCTTGTAATATCTTAAAATTGCTGCTCTAATTTCTTGTTTGAAAGAACTGTTTTACACATGCAAACATAATTATAGGTGCAACTGGATGGCTCCAGCTGTGTAACTTAAACAAGTAAAAAGGCTTGGAATTTACTATATTAACTTTAAAGGAAGATAAAATAAATTTTAAGATTTTTATTTTTTTTGTCTGAAACAAGTTGAGAGTAGGAGAAAAGGGAAAATCTATTTTCCTTCCAAGCAAATACAGCACCTAGGAAAGTGCTTTCTTGGGGTCTTCTGAACCATTTCTGAGCTTGCAAGTTAAAGTTTCTAGCATGTTTCCATCTTCACATATTTTTGCTTTTGTAACATTTGTTTCTAGCATAACTATCACTACTCCTTCCTCTTTATTTTTTGTACATTCTATTTTCGCTTGTGCCCCTCTTCCTGTCATCTGAAATATTGCAATAAATTTAAAATTAGTTTGCTCAAAAATAAATACTGGAAATGAGTGTACTACGGTGTACTGTGCAGTTTTGGGGCAAAATTAGCAGTCTTGGCATTTGGCAAAGAGTGCTTATGCTGCTTAATATTTGTACTGTGAGCTCTGCTTTAATTCAACTGATGTGAAATGGGTATGATTATTCTTAAATGAATTGAGGAATCTTTTAATCCTCCCCCTACCATGTTTCCAACTTTGGTGTTGAACATAAATTACTCCAAACAGCAACTTGATCTTGAATAGGCTTCTGGTATTTTTTCTCTCATGTGTTAAGATTAGCAGGTTTGTGTTGTGCTTTTTTTTTTTTTGTCTGCCTTGTAAAGAGGAGAGAAATATGTCTCTTATTTGAGAGAATGTTCCTTGGCCAGTTTTGTTCTCTCAGAAATTTTAATGATCTGCATATACAGTGAGTAAGAGTAGCCAAGAGGTTGATCTTGCCTTTCGAAGGCATATTAGGTATGAAGACATGGTGGTTATCATGTATGCAAAATAATATGTATCAATCTAAAGCTTATTTGAGTCAAGTTTGTAATGAAACAATTTTGATTCTGTTAATCAATTTGGTCTTATCTCTCTCCATGTTGGGTTATAAGTATACCTAAGCTGCCCTTCAGACTGTTTTTAGTATCAAATATTTTTATCTCTTCCTGTGCAAGAAATGAAGGTTTACTTTTTCACCCTCACAGGTTCAAGAGAAAGAGATGGAGACTGAGAAATGGAAAAACAAGTATAATAAGCTTTATATGGAATACCAGGAAATGGGGTATGAACCTGTCCTCACTTTTATATCTACTTATTTACTCCAGATGCTTTTTCTAACATATGTTCAACATTTTTTTTTTTCATGGTTTTTAGAAAAATAGTTGCTGAGTTTGAACAGACAATAACACAAGTTATGGGTAAGTTCCTAATTTACACTTTGAATGCCTTGAGGGGCTGGGGCCTGCTTAGCCTAGGGTGACTAAGTGAGGTTAGTACTCTTTCACCTCTGATGACATTAATATTTCAAGTGCTTCCAGGGTGAGTGTAAGGTTTCTGACAAGATAGTTAGACTAACAATTTTATGCACATTCATACAGACATGATATCACTTGGTAGGTAGCAATGAGTTCCTGAATCAGGCATGAACACATCTGACTTTTTCTTATTCTTCAGTGGAGTGTGAGTTGTTGCTTCATTAAAGCTGGCAGATCTGGTTGTCAGCACTTTGTGTTAACTGCTTATTATCTGACATCATTTAAGTGGCAAGATATAACTAGGAGTACTTGCTGGACAGACCCAGCCTTTGCTTCAGTCCAGTTTGTGGCTTCAAAACTAGGAAAAACATATAGTGAAACTCTTGTATAGGTGCATTTTCTTAGTTCAAAGCTGAATAGACACATCTATGCCTTGCTTAAATTTAGTTCTTTAAGAAGACTGAATATTGTGCTAGCTTTTTTGTGCTTCTTTAAACCTGTGGGAAACGTAGCTCAGGTCTGCTAAGGTTTGCTATGCTAGTTTGACTTGTTAACCCAGTCTTCTTCAGATCTTTCAGCTATTGTGTATGTTTAATGAAAACAAATATTTTTGAATTCTTTGCTTCTATCACAACATTTGAGGCCCCTGTTATGGTAAACTTGGGTGAAGTGTTTTGACTACATTGCAGGAGAGACAGTGCTTTAGGCCAGCACCTTGTAATCAGTGTTTAATGGCCTTAATTTCGGTGTGAGGTAGCATGTAGCAAATAGATAAGGACTTCTTTCTTAAAAGCACACATGTGGTATTTTTCCAAATGAGAGGCTACGTTGTGAAACCCTCTTGTACTTTAAGAGCAAGAATTGAAGGCATGGGGGCTGCTATCTGTCTATTCTGTGGAACTAGTTTTATGCCAATGCAATAACTGTAATGGGTTAACTCCACTTTCTCTAGAGGATTCTCAGAAGCAGAAGGAAATCTCAAGGAAAGAAATGCAGAAGCTGATGGAGGAGAAGCAGCAAGCTTTATCAGATCTCAACTCCATGGAAAAGTCTTTCTCTGAACTCTTCAAACGACTTGAAAAGCAGAAAGAGGCACTAGAGGGTTACCACAGAGTAAGGATGCTATAATGCAAATAATATCCTTCAAGATAAATGAGATTTACTGGAGAGGAAATAGTGGAATTTCAGAAGTATAGGCAGTAGTATTTTCAGCTAGTATAGGCACTACTTGGAAAACCGGGTGCTAAGTTGTTTCTTTAAAGATGATAAAAAATTACTAGCTTGTTGTATTTAGTGACTGACTTAAAGCATAATAATGACATCTGTTAGAAGCCAAAGTTTCTTCAAACAGAGGTGAGCTGGTTCTTGCTGCACACATGTCATTTTTGTTTATCATAGAGACACTCTCATGTAGCAACTACTGCACAGGAGCAGCTTGTTTCCCTTACATCATATTGAATGGATGTTGAAGAAGGTTTGCTATTACAAGTCAGATGGATAATAGTTCATTGGATGCTCTTTACTAAGTTGTGGTTTTTGTTAAAGCTAAAATCAGGCCTTCATTCTGCAGCTTCTTCAGAGGCTGGAGGAAGGAAGCTAATGAGGAACATAAGCTATGGCTTCTTACTGCATAAAATGCACAAAAATTGATTCAGCTGACATTTAAAAAAAGCACCTTCAGATTTTTTCATTCAGTTATCCTTAAACTCAAGCTTAAAACTAGCCTATTACAAGTTTCATGGTAGTCTAGGTTTGAGAAACAGGCAGGATGGCTGTGTTGAAACTTTAGTTTCTTCTTAGACTTCCTTCATCTTGTGTCCCTTCCATTTCTACCCTAAATTCAGAAGCCCTTTCCTTGGCACAGAAACACACCTGGAAACAAAGTTGCTAAATTCAAGAGCTGCAATTAGTAGGGAGTCTTAGCACTTGTTTCAAACAGTTCCAACTTTCTATAATAGCTAATAAAATATCTTCATAGTGTGCCTAGCAATGTAACTTTCTTGCTGTTAATATTGTATTAATTTACATTGGGGTCCAAAGCCTGAATCTTTCCATGGGTTCTCTGAAGAAGTTGGATTTGTAGCTATTCTTTGGACAATTGCAGCTTAAGACAAAGATGATTTGAAAAAAAAAAAAGAAAACAACAAAGCCAACCAGTGACTGTAGTTTTAGTGACCTTCGCCTTTACTGCAGTTTGCTACTAAATAATGTATTGGGAGGGACACAGGGTGAATAAATCTTAGTTTGCAAAGCTCAGGTAGTTGAAAGGAGCCATTTTAGTCTGTGTAGGTCTGTGGGACTTCACAGCTGTTCCTGCTACCCTGGTGAGCAAATACTGCCAGTCGGGTGTATTCAAACAGCCCATTTGTCAGGTGGAGAGACTCTTCATCTACTGGCACGTAAAAAGCTAACTAAGGTTCTTGGGTTTTGGGACAGAATGAAGAACTTTTGAAAAAATGTGCTGAGGACTACTTGGCTAGAATTAAAAAAGAAGAGCAGCGGTATCAGGCACTAAAGGCACATGCAGAGGAAAAGCTGCAGCGGTAAGTACTGTGTCAAGAAGGCAAGTACTGAGAGTGAACTATATACTTCTCACAGTTGCTGCAGAATGTGTTTCAATAATACCAGAACTTGTCTTAAATACGTTTAATTTTGAGATTAGTCAAAAGTACAAGCACCTAGTGTGATTCGCTGTGCTGACTGAAGGGGGCGTTAACACCACCTTGCAACCATTTCAGAGCAAACGAAGAAATTGCCCACATTCGAAACAAGGCCGATTCAGAGGCTGCGGCGCTACAAGCGACTCTGCGCAAGGAACAGATGAGGAACCAGTCTCTGGAGAGGAGCCTTGAACAAAAGGTTAGTCAAAATGCCATGGGTGAGCCTCTTCAAGCTATTGCCTTAGACTAGGTCAAGAACTCCCCTGTACCAGTGCTAGAAGTAATTGTGCTAACTGTGCTGGTTTTGGTGGCTGCTGTCCTAGCGGGGCAAGGGAAATAGGCATTGAAAACAAAGACACAACTGTATTATGTCAGGACTTGTCTGTATGTGTAGATTTTTTTGGAGCACGAGGTTTGTTCCCATAGGTGGATTGTAGAAGTGAGGAGGTGTCAGGAGGTTACCTGAACTACTGAAAGAGGTGGTGATCTAACAAGTAAACATGAAACAGAGCAGAATTTGGGAATAAATCTTGAATAACTCTTTGGTTCAACTTGTTCATGAACATGGCTTGTAAGCTGTTAGCACTGATACGGATTGACTGTATATGACTGAAGTCTTCAGTATTGTTCAGACCATTAATCCTTGTACTTTGTTCCATTTTGCATAGGTGAAGTCTTAAAATGTTTTGTAAAGGGCCATCAGTTTCCTTTGTTGGAACCCTTCAAAGGAAGCAGCTTTTTGAGGGTTAAAAGTCACAGCTGGAAATGCATCCAGTTTTACTGTGTCATGGTTGTCTCTGCTAGCACTGAAGACTCAAAAGTGGATAATGCTGACACACTCCTATTATGGAAAAATCTCATGGTTTTTTTGATCTTCAGGCTTACAGCTAAGGTCTGCATAGCTGAGGAAACAGTAGGCCTGTAACTGGAGAGATGAGACAAGCCATTTAACACAGAACTGGTTTTGGTCTTGTCATAAATACAGTAATGCTTTATGTTAATTCTTATTAAAAGGGTTTGACCATATAAGGAATTCTACAAACTGGAAATTGTAATTTTTTTTCAGTGAAAGTATAAAAGCATTATTTTTAAGTGTCTTGTGAAGATTTAAATCTAAACTGTCGTCTTGCACTTCCATGTACCTAACGAAGACTTTGAGTCTGAAAAGTCTCATTGCCCTGGATCAGTTGTTCTCCATGTATTATGGGAAAGTCTGGAAGAAGTAGAAACAGTTTAGTGGATTCTGGCTCATTTCCTGAGGCTCTCAAGGATGCCATGTGCCCTTTGACATAGTAGACTGTCCTTAAATTTGCATAAGTCACTATCATGTAAATGCACTTTCTGTTCTATTTGCTGACAAACATGTCTTAGAACTCAATACAAGGTGGTAGCATAGTTTGGACATACCTGAAACTCACTTTTTCTTTCTTCCGCAGACTAAAGAAAATGATGAACTAACGAAAATCTGTGATGACTTGATCTCCAAGATAGAAAAAAATTGATATCTCTACTGTCTTGTAAATATGTTTAGTTTCTCTGACTTGCTGTCTTGTGTGTTTACTCACTTTTTTATGTATGTGGGGAAAAAAATAAAATTTTTGATTCACACTTGTCTGGCATATTATTGGCTGCATCTTTTGTGGAAACATCTGTAAACTTAAGTAACAATGTCTTGCATAACATTTTTACATGTAGCTCAAAGGAAAAATTTTAATTGTCATACTTTCAGTCTGTTCCCTCTGTAGTCCTGATCTGGCTTTGCTGTGGGGGCTCCTCATGGGCCCTATGTCTCTATTCTGCACTTTCTCCTCTCACTTAAAGAACTCCAGAGTTACAAGACTCTAATAAAACTGGACCTGTCACAAGTGCTATAAAGTATTTACTGATGTAAAAAAAAAAATTGGAACTTCAGTTTGCTTTTGTGCTTTAAGAGGAGCTGGAGTGATTTTGTTTTTGGAGACAAGCTAAGCAGAGGGCTGAATAGCAGGACTGATTGCCTGCTACTCTCTGTGGGGTTTTTCCATGTCATTAGTCTGTCTGATGCTATTGATTTTAAAGCATCAGCCCCAGTCAAGAGCTCCCTCATCCTGCTTGTAGAGGAAACCTTTGAGAGCTGTAGGCTGCAGGTCACAGGTTGTGATGAAGTCAGCTCTAGGCAATAGCAGACATCTCAGATGAGATGTTATTACCTAACAGACATTAACAGGATTGACTCATTGCAAGCTTACAGCTTTTTACTTCTAATATTACTTGGGAGGTTATTCCCTCACTTGCCTGGCTCATGGATGCATCTTGCTCAGAAGGGCTGTTGCTGCTGAGTGTGCTCTTAACTGCAGTTGGAGCCTTTCTCAAGCTCATGTTAGGCCACACTTAGCACAGGTTGAGCATAGAGCCAAAGAAGTTAGACCTGTGCTTTCCTTTCCTGGTGTTGGATCATCTCTGTGGTCTGATGAGCCCGACTGCCAGGTCTGGAGGCTTTATTGGGGATAAGCCTGCAATCCTAAATCTTTCCACAAGATGTAGCTGCTGCTCTTTGAAACGGGGACTTTACTCGGCTGGGTGGAGCTGGAGGTTGTCGCTCTTCTCTAGTCGTGCTTAATGCTAACGAAATAATGGTTTTCTCTTGGAAAGGATGAAGGATATCATTCACAGCAGTGAATGATAACAGATTTACTGTAAACAGTGACAATGCTATCTGGAGTTTTTGTGCTACACGACTCTATGCACCTTTAGGAAACTGCTATATCAGGGAACACTGGGGTCTTCCTTACCTTCCTGAAGAGGATGAGTGAGCAGGTTTTGTATCTGTGAGTCCCTAAGGCTTAACTTCAAGACATTGCCCATCCTTGAGCTTGGATAACTATTTCCCTCACCAAAAGTTGTGGGCCTGAAGGGACCTCTGCATTTTAAACAGCTCAGAAGGGATGGTTTCTTTCTCTTTGCAGGTGCAATATGTACCTCTGACTTAACACTCACACCACCTGTAAGATTTTAGTATTTTGTAATTCCTACCTGAAAAGTATTGTTTAAATATTACCTTCCTTATTTTAAAGAACTGTTCTGGTTACTTTCTTATGTTGAACAGTCCTCTTCAGAAGAATTCAGCCTTACAGCATACAACAGAGGTACCCAAATGCACATTTAATGAACTTGTGTGAGCTGTTGAGTGGAAAGTACATGTGTGTTTCAGTGAGATTAGTGTTTGCTTACCGAGAAAAGAATCAATCTGTCTGGGAATTTTTTGCCTTATTTTCATTTACTTACTGAGCCTCATCTATTGTGAATTCGCCTCTCTGCAAGCAGGTACTAGGAGGGAAAGGTGATACTGCTTGGTGCCTCTACTCTCTGAGTTTTATTTATTATTTATATGAAAAATTGCTCAGTGCTGAACAAACAGAGGATAACAGGTTGCACCCCAGACAGTCTGTTCTTGGTTCAAGCGTATGGGAGGGTGTATTTTATTTCAGAGCTGACTAAGGTGGATCAAAGGTGCTGAGCCTGCTTGCACGGTCTAACATCGTTGGTGTGTTTATATAAAGGGCTTCCACAAATCTGTGCCTTTAACACTTTTTCATGGTATTTCTGGTGTTCTTCAGGAACTCTTGAGGATACACATCTGACCTTGAACTGTACTACCATGCAGGCAAACTGTGCCATATACCTACACTGATGTTGGTCAATCTCTCTTGTGAGGGGATTTTTTATTCTCTTAGTCTTCCAGAGCAAACCTAACTGTAGCCTGGCCTGCATGGTCCAAAGTCACCTTCTTTCCAGCCATTTCCACTCCTGTTTCCAACTTTCAGCAGAACATTCATCATGTTCCAAGCATAGACTTTAGACTCTGGCATAGTTAAAGCCTTTGGTTCAGAAACTGTGGCATAAACCTTGCTGGAGTCAGGTAATATCTCCAGACTGATCCTAGAGTCAGTGGGTTGTACTCTGACCAACTTTCCAGTCTTTTTTGTGCAGCTCTGACAGCACAGAGTAAATGAAGAAATGTCCTAATTTGACATGAGATTTCAACAGTCACCTCAGTGTGAAACTGGAACCAGGCAAAGGCTGAATCAAACTCTCTGACTTCAGCTGGACTTCCAAACATACAGCTTCACTTCTAAGGCTGCAAGTTATGCCTCCAAAGCAGGTATTTTCCCCTTCTCTGTTGTAGAAATTAAAATTGCACAGAAGAAACTGAGAGAAATAATTAATCATCTCCTACTTTTCCTCGTTTGGAGGATGGATTTATTACCTAAATCAGAAAACAACAGAATGTTTTAAAGCAGAAAAGGGAAGTGAATACTATTTTTCCATTAAAAAACAAACTTAGAAAGCATTTAATTTCAGCATGCTGTCTTTGGCTGTATGAGGAGCTCTCTGTCTTTTCAGAAGTCACTAGATCATGACATGACTAATCTTTTTCTGGTTTTGAAAGATCTGTGTGGTTTGACTTTGAGAAATGGATTAGTCACAACATCTACTTTCTTACAGATTTCTTTTCCTCTCCACCTCACCTAATGCAGACAAACTAAATCCTCTGTGGGAGTGAAGGGGAAGGAAATTCCCTGTGAGTTTTTTCCTATTTTTGATGACAGTGCCAGTAAAATTAATGGCAGTTTACATCAGCTGTTTGCTTTTCAGTGCTTGCTGCCAGGTTTTTGCCAATATTGTCTTGCTGTTTGCAGACAAAACCTGCATCAGACCCTGATTTTTTTCTCCCTCTTGGGAGAGAGTTTCCCAGTGGTGAAGTTCTGCTGTGCGTAAGAGGTCTGTGTTGTAACTTTATCCATCTCCATGGAGTCTCTCTTGGGTCTCAGTGTAAGAGGACAGTCCCTTGGCCACTGTCACCTGTCAGAGCACTACAAGAGCTGATGGACCTGGGGACCATCTTGCCTGACTGTGTTTGTGGGATAGGTCTCAGTGGCCCAGAAGCAGCTGTGGCCATTTAATGGGGCTGACACATGTTGTGTGCTCACTGGTGTCATATGGCTTGTTGGCTGGAGGAAAGAGCCACTGGGGACACAAATGTGGTGAATATTTCTCCCTCCATCTTTTTAAATGCACTCAGACTTGCAGCAACTCTAGGAGTTGAAGATCAAGACTATGAGTTGAAGATCTTCAAACCTATTAACTTCTGTATCTCCTTAGTCCCAAACTTGGTGTCCTTCGTGTAGTGTTGGGGTTGACTTCAGACTCTTCTGGAGGAAATGAAGCAGGATGGCTCTGAACTGGCTAAGGGGTCATTTAAACTCTTTCCTTTCTCTCTGTTTTCCAAGCTTGCTGAGCAATATTGTGTCCTGGGGCCCAGTTAACTACTTTACTTTTTACTTTGTCATTTCTATACCTTAAAAATAAGCTTGCTTTGTATTGTCCAATTTAACTTCATTCTCAGCCATGTAATATTTTTTTTTCCCCCAAATCAAGGGCCTATATCACTCCCTCCCAGCACAAGTGAATGTTTTTGCGTGTCGAATTCAATGAACCCATTTCCTATTGTACAAGTTCTTCAAGCCAGTTGTCCATTATCTCCTCTGTGAAATGCACCAGCCAAAAAGAGAACAAAGCCAAACAAAAGGTAATACTGGCTTTGGGGACCAAGCAGCACATATTACTCAGTGTGAATGGGCTGTGCTTCCTAGGGTGTGGGAGAGTGCCAGTCAAGCTCAGGTGGTAAGGAAATCCAAATATTTCCCATGAACTTCATGTATGGGATTTGTTCCCGGTTTGATGGGCAGGTACCATTAAGGAAAAAGAAATAAAATAAAAGACCAAACAAAAAAAACCAAACCCTAACAAGCAACAAACCCAAACAAAACCAACAACAATGACAACAACAACAAAAACCACAACCAAAAAAACCCCAAAACCCAGCAATGTGTGGTAGGCCCAGGGACTGAACATTTTTGGGAAACTTAGTTTTGCAGTGTTTCATCACACAGAACGTTCCACCAGTTGTCTGTCTCTTGGCATTTAAAACACCATCCTCTTCCTTTCTTTCCATCAGCAAAGCCAGCTGGCTGTGTTTGGGAGGCAAGTGACAAGTGTTACCCTGGCTTGCACCAAGGAGTTGTGTGAGAGCCTGTGCCTGACAGCTGGTAATTTTATTTATGATCCTGGCACCACGATTCACTGTTCCATTTGAAAGCATCATTGGTATCACAAGGGAGAACTATGTTTGGGTTGGAAGAGAGGTAAGTGTCAGTCTAAAAATAGATCCAGCCTATCTCCTAAACTGCACTCAACAAAGCTGAGGAGACAGGGATGCAACAACTGCTTTATTTTCCCAATCCCAGCATCATCTGCTGCTGCCCAGCATGGCCCCCAGAGCCTAGATGCAGGAAGTCATTGGATATAATCCATGATGCCAATTAATAATGTTGTTTATTGGATGTTGCAGTAAGGATGAGGTCTAATTCATTGCAGGGTGTAATGATCTAGGTGATGGGAGCTGAATGTGATTGCAGGGATCTGAGTTCTGAGTAGTAACATGCTCTTGAAGAAGAGCCCTGCACCTCTTTCCACAGTGGTGGCTGTAGATTAACAATTTCTGCTGCTTTTACACCACACATTTGGAGGTTTTCAGTTCCAAAAGCTGTGTGTGTTGCTAATATTTTCCATCTGATGG